AAAATCACAAACTCCATATAATAAATTTTTATATCAATTTAAATCTAATGTATGATTAGTATAATTGAATTTCTATTTCAAAATTTAATTAAAAATTAATATAATTGAATTTCTATTGTAAATTTAAAATTATACTAAATTTCAAATTTTCTAATAAAATTCAAATTACAAATTACTTAATAAAATTCAAATCTATACTATTATATATATATAATTTTTTAAATATTACCTAATAAAATTCAAATTACAAATTACCTAATAAAATTCAAATTACCTAAAATAATTTATTACTTTACAAAAACTGTAACTCTATCACCAATTTCAAAATATTTCAGTATGTATTTATTAATATAAAAAATATTTATCAATTAATATTAAAAGAGTTACAAAAATTGCTATTTTTTGTAAGGTTTATTATTACAACTTTCAAATCAACAATTAAAAAATATATATATAAAATCAAAAATTAGAAAAGTTACAAAACATTTACCACGTGCATCGCACGTGCCTTTTCCTAATATATATATATATATATGTTTTGATTAATAAATGTATTTGCGTGGATATATTGGTTCTTGTTCATAGTAGATTTAATCATATAGGTTTAGGTGCATAGTCTTACCAATATATATTGGTTTTATAAATATGGTGGTTTGTGGAGGGGGTGGTGGTAAGAGGTTGAGAGAAGAGGGGTGATGACCATCGTTATAGGATGGAAGTGTAAGAGATGGAGATGACCGTTAGAGGGCGGTGATGTAAGAGGTGGAGAAAATAGAGTGATAGAGATATGAAAGGAAAGAGAATAAAGAAAATAAATATAATAACTATAAGTTTATTACAGTATTTTTTGATAGATGATAAGAAGAGTGAGTTGTTATACTTCAAAAGTTATAATTTTAAGACACATGATAGGACCTCTCAACAAAGGAGATCCAAGCTCCTAATAACACTGCCCAAAATATAATTATCAAACATAAGTGAAATAACACGAAATGGAAGATTATTAGACTTTCACTTTGGTTACTTGAATTAATTTTTTTGTCACATCCCATGTGAGAGTTGCTTATTAAAATTTTTTTTTTAGGGTTAATTTCATAAAATCCTCATTACTTTCAAAATTTTATCATAAACTTTTAACATAAATCAAAAAATCACAGACATGCTTTAAAAAGTGATCAAATTTACCCCCAAACCTGTGTTCGACCCGTTAACCGGACTGTGAAATGTCAAATTTGACCATATTATTTACTATTTAAATTAAAATTTGATATTTATTATTTTAAAATTACATAATTACCCTGATTATATATGTGTTGTTACTGTTAGACCCACAAACCCAAACACCATCTAAACCTAATTTCCCACGACCCAAACACAACTTTATACCCATTTGCATTGTTCATATTCTTCAATAGACACATTGTCACAGCTCATAAGACCCAGTTATTCTAAACATAATCACAAGACCCCAACCTAAGCCACAAGATCCAATTGCAAAACCCTTGTACCAATCGCACCCAAACATAACCCATCTACAGAACTTAACCAACAACCTCTCCACCGAAATCGTGACATTGACACGACCTCATCGTTATAGTCCGTGCTTGCACTTCGTCGCTACCGATTCGTTTCTCATCGCCGATTCAATTGGTGTGTTTGCTGGTAAGTTTCGTGTTTTATTCGTTTCAGTCTTGCCTTGCCTATTAATTATGTGGCTGTAGTTCAGACATGCATCCTCACCGATAAATTATGTGGTTGCAGTTTAGACCTGCATGCTCGCCAGTTCACTCTATTGTCGTCGTTTAGTTCAGACCCTGTGCACCTGTAAGTTTAGTGCACTGCCGTCCTTGCGTGCTCACTGATAAATCGTTGCTTCATCGCCTGTAATGTTTCCAATTTTCGCCATTTTTCATTTTCTAAATTTTTTTAATTTTTTGAGGGTATTTTTGTCTTATGTCATTTTACGTGCCAGACATCGTGGGATGTGCCGGATGTGTTCAGAGTGTTGGTTGGAGTGTTTTTTTGAGTTCAGGATTTTCGAAAATGCATTGATTGCCATTTCGTCATTTTTCTATTTTTCGGGCCGAAAGGTCCCAGGTGGAACCCGTTACCGAGGTTGTTGTGTACGAGGATTGTGTTTCGGGTCCATTGCAGTCATGCATTATTATTTGATGTATAATTATGTGGTTAAATGTTTATTTGTGTGGTTGTAATTTGGTTAGTGTGTGTGTGTGTATATATATATATATATATATATATATATATATATAAGATATTTTTGTAAAGTCAGGGGACCCATAATTATTATAACTTATATCTAATGATCTCAAAGTCATTACAACATTACATTTCTCACTCTCAGATTCATCATTTCTCTCTCTCTATTACAACTTCTCTTTTTCTTTTTTCTTTTTCTTGTTATAATGATTTCAAGCTCCGATCTTGAGTTTATTATTGAGAATTTGATCTTGCCATTTAAAGCAAAGTTGATGAGCGCGTTGAGATATTTGTTTCGATCGGATCAAAGTGCCGTTTGACCACCATTTGGGATTTCAAATTTTGGGTTCAAATTGGGACTTTTCATCTATTTTAAGGTAGGGGTGCTCTAATCCATACACTCTTTGATTTTTATGATTCATTCCCCTATATTTGATGTATATTATGTTTAATTATGATTATTTCTTGAAAATTTGTTACGATGTTATATATATGAATTTTATTTTCATGCGAGTTTCATGTTTAAGTGATATGTGTGTATATGATTTGTTGATTTGAGACGAGCACGCTATGATTTTGTTATTGTCTTAAGTGATTAATTGCTGAAAATTGTGAATAATAAGCAAGCTATAATTTTGTTTCTTAATTGGCATGCTATATTGTTAAGGTTGAATTGTATGAGATTCTGGTAGTTTGGGAAGCACGAAGCATTCATGCATTCCATTGGGAAAGAAAAAGGGAAAATCTTTTGAAAAACAAGTGAAAATTATTTTTAGGAGAATGTTTTAAAAATGGTTTGAGAAAACTCGGACGCCTAGTGAGGTGCCTAGTGGTCCGTGGCATTAATGTGATCTAGAGGGAACTAGGGAGAGACCCTAGTGTGGTTGAGCTACCTAGGCCCAGAACGACGCCATGGAGGTGCCATGTGATCGGGGATAGCTAACCAATCCTTTTCTCGTGACACTATAAAGGTGCTATATGTAGGGTTACATTAGCAGTTTGGAATGGTGAAACGGAAATGTTTCGGAAATGGGGAATGACATTGGTATGTCATTGCATTACATTTGCATGCATTATGTACATATGGTTGGATGATCTGTTTTGTAGTTGTTGATGATATTGTTGTCGTTGTTGTGTTTTTCTTTCGATTGATATGATACCATTTACTTTTACCCTATGCTTTGTGTGGATTTACGGGTTTATTAAGAGGTGTGTCTCAGACATCTCCTACTGAGCGGTTGGCTCACCCCATCATATTATTATATTTTTTAGGTCACAGAAAGGAAGTGGCAGACGACGCAGGGCCGGCCCTGAGATTGAAAAAATTTCGAGAGGTTCTAGGCGAACTTTAAATGTGAGGCCTTCTATACATAAGTGATATGCTTGCCCTAATTTTTTTTATTATTTTTTATTTAGGCCCCTTTTTGCTGCATTTGGTTAGACCTTTTTTTTTTTTTTTTTTGGTAGCCCATCATTCCTGAGGCCCTTTGTTGCAGTTATAAATTTTTTTTTTGGTGGCCGAACATTCATGGCCTATAAATTTTGATTTGCTGCATTATTTTTATTTTATTTTATTTTATTTTTTTGTGGCCCATCATACATGGGCCTATAAATTTGGAGGCCTCTTATATTCTGAGGCCCTAGGCGACCGCCTTGGTCGCCTTGGGCCAGGGCCGGCCCTGGGACGACGCTCCTCCACAAGTTTGAATGGGTCAGTGGACTGTTTTGACATCTTTTGTATTTGTGATCTCAATTTTTATTTTTATTTTTATTTTTTTTATTTTTCGTATAAGCCTTGGGGTGGCATGTATACTATGTATCGACCTTAGAATTGACCATAGTGCCCTTAGACGACCTCGAGTTCAGGTAAGGACCCGGTTAACAATTCGGACACTCGGGTTCGGGTCGTTACACCGCCGTTCATTTCTATCGGTTCCTCCTTACTTCATCGTGCATCGCAGACTGCAAATCTCAAGCCTCATCGTCGTCGTTCACTCATCCTTGCATTGCCGGGCAATTTCATCTCCTTGCGTCACCAGCGCAAATCTGTCGTCGGGTTGTAGGAGAGAGAGAGAGAGTGAGAGAGAGAAAACCCAATCATGGATAGTTCTGTAATTTTGAAATAATAAATATCAAATTTTAATTTAATAGTAAATTATAGGATCAAATTTGACATTTCACAGACTGTTTAACGGGTCGGACATGGATTTGAAGGCAATTTGATCCCTTTTTAAAGTGTCGGGATTTTTTCTGAAATAGGTTGGGGGTTTATTATAAAATTTTGAAATAAGTGGGGTTTTTATGAAATTAGCCCCTTTTTTTTTTATAATAAACTCAACAAATTTTCTAAATATATTTATTTATTAATTTTCTCCTGACACGTCAATATTTAGTAAGGATGACATATTGGTAAGTGACCAATGGGTCAATGGTTTAGCGGTATCTGATCTTTACTTTTCATAAGGAAGTCAAGGTTCAAGCCTTAGTAAAAACATGTATATGCGAGTACAAACTAAAAATAAAATAGTGAGTAGATAAATATTGTTAGTATTGAAATTAAAATTAAAAAATATTAAATTTAAAATATGAACTTAAATGATTTCAATTTCAAATTCAAATTTAAGGTGCTACTTTCATTGATTATTTTTGATATGTTTTTGGCAAGTAATATTGGGATTTTGCCCATTTCAATAATTACGACGTCGTATACTTTCAATGGAAAATTTTTGTTCTTTGTTCGTACAATGGAATTTTTCTTGCCTTAAAAAATAAAAAATGGAAATAGGAAGATCGTTTTGGTGGTTTACCCTTACAGAACGGCGATTGTTTCCGCTTGTGAGAAACCACCGTATTATTTTCTTAATCTGACTCTCCCTTCCTTCCCTTCTTCTTCTTCTCCTCCTCCCACTTTCGATTTCCTTCTTCACTCACAACTTACAAACCACGCCCCCCTCCTTCTCTCTCTCTACTCTCTCTTTACGATCAAAAAGTTTTATTAGGTTTCAAAAATTCCTCAACAACAAGAATCGTAAGTATATACACACTAAAACCCTAGTGGCTTGTTCTCTCTTGAGTCACTCCCTGGCGGAACACTTATTCCTTTGGAACGCGTCCCTATAATACACATATATTTCTAGGGTTTCATGTCTGCGACGATTTCATGTCTTATGAATGGAGATCCCCTCTAGTTTCTCCGGCGATTTCTCACCTTTCTTGCTCGTCGTAGCCCTAATAGTAACCGCACTTTGTTGCTTGTTCGCTTTCTTCGCAGTCCAATCAAAACCACTCCGGAAATCTAAGTCGGTCGAATCAGGCGGCGATATTAGCACATTGTTGACGAATACATGTAAATGCACTTGTTCCTGTAGGGTTGGTGGTGAAAATTCTGATCTGGGAACGATGACTGCGACGGCTTATTTGAACGGAGGTAGTGGGGCCGGTGGCGTAGAGATGTTGGATAGGACGCCGGTGGTGGCGGTGGAGCGGCAGACGGGTGCTTCTATGATGGAACAATTAGTTCCGGAAATCACGACTCACGCTCTGAGTTACTTGGATTATCCGAGTCTTTGCAGGCTTTCGATGACAAATTCTCTAATGAGGAAAGCTGCGAACGATGATAATGCATGGAAAGCACTTTACCACAAGGTAATTTTTCAAATTGAACCTACCTTTCTTTTCTCCGGTTAAAATTTTTGCCCTTTTTGTTTCGGCATGTTGTAACTATTTATTTATGCCATGTTATTGTAACTAAAGTTTTCAAGTTTTTGTCAATTAACAGTGAATTTCACTTAGTAGCTTTCATAAATTTTGATACTAGCGGACCTGGATTCATTGTTACTAGTTTGAGCCTGTCGATTTGAGGACTCTGAAACTTGATGAATTTGAATTTTTGAAATCTATATAAAAATGGAAAGTCACAAATTTGGTTTTGGAGCTGGAGTTCAGACGTCATTTTTCTTATATTCTTAAATTCAAAATGTCAATTAAGTAATGAAATTTGGTAGGAGATTTTGAATTTAGAAAGCCACTTCTCTTGTCTAGAAAGATGAGCACAAAATGCATTAAGTAGATTATTTTATATATATATATATATATATATATATATATATATATATATAGATATATATTTTGATGTGCTAAGACCTTTGTTTTGCATGTCAAAACTCTCTTCTATTGTACTAAAATATTTTAGGTATTCCCTTTTTTTTTTTTTTTTTTTTTTTTATCTTTTGGGGATTTTATCAGTTAGGGAAAGAAAGTAATAGAATATATAAGATGGACTTTTGGAGGCACTATAACATACAGAAATTTGAATGTAAGATGTTTTTCATTGTTTGATACAACTTGTGGATAATATGGTGGTAGTACTGTAGATGTATTGTATGATCAGTGATGACTAGGGCTGCAAATGAACTGAATTTTTAATGAACAGATTGGGCTCGGTTATGGCTTTTTTATTAAGCAAAAAGCCGATCTTCAGCTCGAGTTTCCCACAACCTCGTCTACTTATGATTGGTTTTATTGCGAGTATAAGATTGGTCAAATAAAAATTATTGCCTAAGCTCGTGTCAAACAATTAAGACTCATTGCAATCTCATATATATAAGCCCACATTTGAAAGATATTGTAAACCAAATGATGAGCCCAACAAAAATGGCCCATGTTTCCTTCACCAATGACCAATCCAATTAAAGCCCATATGCGTCCACGACTCCACAATTAAGAAACCCTAATCTATCTCGTCCTTGTCTTCCACACTCTCTTGCCCCTATTGTCAAAGTTATCTCTCGTTTCCCTGCCAGTCGGGGATGGTAATAGTGATCTAAAGGAGACATCTTGATAAAACCAATGTGGGGCAGTTTTATGAAGACCTGTTTATCTACTGCCAAAAGTGCGGGAGCGGTTTCAGGTATTGAGTGTTGTGTGGATGTTTTAAAACCGGATGTTTAAATCTGGGTTTTTGAGAGCATTAAAGAGGCTCACGTTATCTCTCGTTTCCCTGGTCCCCAACGATCGCCTTCTCCTCCTGTCGTTCAATCTCTTGTTCTTCTCTCTTCGTTGCCGACAACCATTAGTGTTTTTTGGACGGAAGGAGAAAAGAAGTGGACTACCGTCAACGATTCCTCTCAATGTTCAAGTATCTATAAATTTACATTTGTAATATATATATATATATATATATATATATGAATTTGTTTGTATATGTAGGTGAATCTGTGTATAATTTGTGTGTGACCTTTATACAGTATATATATATATATATATATATATCAACATTTGTGTAGTATAACACATGTTAATTGATATTGTATGTTTGGAAAATGAGCTCGAGCCAAGCCCAGCCTGAGCTTTTTGGATTACGAAGGAGTTAGACCAAGCTCGTCAAAACACGAGCCGAGTCTGAGCACTTCCCTGGCTTTTGCAAGACGAGATTGAACGTGCCAAACCTCGGATCAGCTGGCTTTGGTTTATTTTCTGCTCTAATGATGAGCATTTTCAGATTCCTCGACACTCTTTCCTTGTCTGATTAATTTGTCGTATAGAAAATTTTAATGATTATTTGTTATTCAATTTGTTTATTTCTTCGTTAACTCAATTATTATATTTTGGTTCATTAGGTTTGGTAATATCATTATCATATCTGAATAGAATATTGCAATTCCTGGTAGTTGTAATTTAAAGGGTAGATTAAATATTTGTTCTATGGAACATGATTGTCCAAGTTTTTTTTTTTTTTTTTTTTTTCACTTAAATGGTCATACAATGACTCCTTTAAGTGTGGCTTCTTGAGGCTTGAACACTTGAGTGGGTTGAGCTTTTTTTCCATTGTTTGGTTCACACAGTGGAATTTATATTGTTTGCACAGTGTTCGACTATGGAAAACATCATTAAAGGTTGGGAATACTTTTTAAATATGCTTGTTCTGAGGTCGGTGATATGACCTCATGGTGTGGGGATCATATGTATTCTGTTGGTGGTGTAATTCTTAGTCTATTTTGTATTGCCATGGATAGTGAGGCGTATTTAGCCAATTAAATAAGTACATCACAGACTTATCAAAAAAAAAGAAGAAAGTATATTACAGAGGGAGTGACATGTGCCCCACTTTTATAGAGTTTTGCAGTATTAGGAGTTGGAATCTATGGCGTATCTAATATCTATTGAGGTATTGCTACTCTACCCATTTGGGAGTGATGGGGAGGATGAGATGCAATGAAGAGTGATGAAGAATGGATTGTTCCTATTGAATCATTTTACATGCGGATTTGTGGAGTGGCATTTCACTCCTATCATCCTGTGGAATACCTATGGGATCAAAAGCTTTAAAGAAGGTGGCATTTTTTGTGTGGGCCAGTCTTCAGTGCCAATTTGACCGCAAATTACTTAAAAGGTTTAGGTGTTTCATTTCATCTTCATTAGTTGGTGTTACTTTTATAAATACATGGGGAGAGTGTTGACCATTTGATGCTCTACTGTGGTGTTGCTATAGAGATGTTTCATGTTTCATGTCAAGGGGTTGGGGACATTTTATGCTGGAACCAGCTTTATGTCTTGTGAGCATGGATCGGTTGGGAAATGACTCCACTTTACTTGATGTGGTGTGTTTATTGGGTGAGAGAACTAGGCAGGCCTTAGAGGAGTGGACTTTCCAACTCACAAGTTCAGCCACTAGATTTTGGACAGTCTATTGATCTGGCTGTTGGTTGTCCTTTAGTATTTTGTTGATTCTTTTCTTTCTTGTTTGGGGGAATTGTCCTTGAAAGTGATAGACAGGTTGACGCTTAAATATACTCCACTTGTACTTTTGTTCTGTGGCATTGTCAGTGAATCTTCTCGAAAAACCTTATATTCCTTCTTGAAACTAATTTTGCTTTGATCAATTTATCCACATTCAGATAATGGAAAAAGAAGGCTAGGCAAGTGGTGTCTATGTGCTGGTTCATTAGAGAAATGGGGGGAAAATTAAAGAGAAAAAGGTGAAAAAAATTTCCGAGCCTTTGATCTTTCAACCATTCCATTTAACATGTAAATATGATGAAGAATAGAGATCACTGATTAAATTGCAACAGCAAATGATTATAGACAAAAAAACTTGCCATCTGCCTTTTTGTAAAACAACTAAACAAAATGAAATGAAGATTGATCTCGTTTTATTTACCATATGTCTAGTAAGAAAATAATCTGTTGATTAATCGAATAAAAGGTGGAAAGAGGTACAAAGAAATAGAAAACAAAAAATTAAAAAATTAAGTATTAGCCATAGAATTTATCTTTTAATTGGTGAATGCCATTACCAAAAGCTTATTTTTCTATAACACATTGGTTAAACAAAATATCCCCAAATAGTTAGCCTTTTTTGGCAGTTTTAGAATTTTTTTTAGGACTGCAAAGTGGTAGAAAAATTAAATGTGGTTGTTATCTTTAATCATAAAAGTATAGATGCAATTAGTTAGGGTTTTAAAGACAAAAATTTAGATAATTGCAGAAGTATATTGCGAATTACTTTGAAGTAAAGTAAGACCGGAGGAGTTTATTTTTTGATAATGCTTCAGATAGACATTTGTTTGTTATTGGGGCTTACAGTTGACATTGTGACTCTTACCTGTGGCTGAGAATTCGTCAGTCGTTGATAAATCTATCAACAATCACAGGTTGTTCTGTCACTGTCTAATTCTTGATCGTTTGATATCTCCCGAGATTATGTCTCTAATCAGAATGGATTTTAACAATTTTATGAAAAGAGAAGAGATTTTTTAAAAGGCTTATTAATTGAAGGATCTAATAGTCTTGTTATCGGCATTCTTCAGTTTGATGTGTCTAGATAAATTTCTAGTATCGATTGATAATTTGATATGTATCTGTATGTATAGGTACTGATTAAGATAATTTATATGTGTAGGTACGGATTAGGTAGGGTCTATTGGTTGGATGGATCTTTGAATTGCCGTGTTGTGAGCTTACTGGCCTATATTGTTTTGTTCTCAGCCATACATATTTGATTCTTTTCAAAAGTTTATTCACATGTTAGTTGCATTTGTTGTTTCTTAATTTCTTCAGTTTCTGTTTTGTAGTGCAGCATGGTAAGTTTTATTGGCATGACAAAATTATATAATGGTCCTTAATTACTTCAATTGAAGTTGAAGATTTTGAACTATCTTTTAGTGAGTCGGATACATTGCTGATCGTCATTCAAAATGACAAACTCGTTATAGCCTCTCTTTTATGACGTGCTTTCTTTTGTGTTCTGAGACTTGTCCAATGTCACTGTTATTTTATTCTAACAGTACATTTTGGTTTGTATATGTTCTAGGATTTCACGTTGGAACAGGATAGCGTTACGCCAGTTAATGGATGGAAGGCTTATTATGCAGCCACAAGAGCCATTGTAAATATTAATGCGGATTTTTTTAACATCATTAGAGAAAGATCACTACCAGCAATGGGTCGTCTTTGGCTTAATGCAGATTATGTGAAGTGTGTTCACACATCAGGGGAGCTGTTTACAGGGTATGCTGCTTTTCATTTGTTCACTGCAACAAAAGTTTCATTTATACCTGTCTGTCTGATTAGTTTATGTTGTGATGCATTTTGACTTAAGTACTTCACATTTGTTTTTAGCTTATGGTAAGTTTTAGGTAGTTGAATTAGTTCATGAAGTGTTTGTATGATTTGAGCTTGTGTAGCATAAATTGTTGTTTAGAATAATTGGGCTTGTGCACCTGTTGTTTTTTTTTTTTTTTCCCGGGGGGGGGGGGGGAGGTTGGGGGGCATTGCATGATGAATTTTTTTTTTTTTCCCCAAAATCATTTCTACTCGGTTTGACCAGTTCAGTCCATTGGACTGACCCCTTTTTGAATAGTTGTGGTTAGGGATGCAACTCAGGCGCATCCAATCCGAGTCCAGCTTAAAATATTTTAGGCTTGGTCTGTGTAAATTGCAATTCGGTCCGGCTTGGGTTATTGTGTCGGGCTTACAAAACCCGAACTATGAACTCGAAATTGAACCCGATATATATATAATATAATATGTTGATGCAAAAATCCACGTGACCCAGAACGACGACGTTTCCTGCAAAATAAATGGATGATGTCACTACGAATGGCACCGGTGTGGTGCCGGCCGAGGACTCTCCGACGGTCAAGTCAATGACCACAGACAGTTGCAGCGTCATTTGGGTCTCGTGGATTTTCGTATCAACATATTATTATTATATATATAGATATACATATATTTGTGTTGGTTCTATGTGATTGGTTATTTAGTGGGTTTCCTTGGTTGTAACATGTATGGGATATTGAACTTATTAGCTTATGATCCATTTGCTATTATGTCATTATGCCAATATCTTCAATTATTTTTGTTGTGGAAAAGTTAAGGTTATTTCATTTGTTACCACAGCAACCCGAATTCAACCCGAGCTTAAAAAATTAAGGATGGGTTGGGTTAGTGTTGAAGATTTCATACTTGGGTTGAGCCTCCAACCTGCTCGAGTTGCACCCTACTAGTTGTGGTTGTGATATCAATATCAATTCATATCATTCTGTCCTACTGATTGAAGAATAAAGGGTTAGTTTTCATTAAATTAAGGGGTATGTTGTTGTTTTTCCCAGTCCAGAATAAATTTAATAGCAAATTGTTTTGTCTTAATATGGTTTATATATGCTTTGGGAACCATTAAAAGTTCTACCTTATGTTACATTACAATGCTTGAGTGGTATCTGATTGTTGGTTACTCTTCTTTTGATTAGTATTGATAATAAACATTGGTTTAGTGGACCACTTTGTAAGGTTTCAATTTATTCAATTGGTGGGAAGAGTTTTTTAGTTTTGCCTTTGTGTTGGGATAGAGCTACCCTGGAAGAAGTAATGGTAATTTATTTATTTTTATTACTATCTTAATAGCAGTGAAGGAGATGGATATTTGGAATTTGTAATTGATCAATAGGATTAGTCTTCAATTGCTTCCCAACATTAACTTTCGAAATCCCACAAGTTAGGAAGCAAATGGAAGCTTGTTAAAAAAAGAGAAAAAAAGAAAAAAGGATGCCATCCAGTAGTCGTTTGTTATATAAATGACTATTGAGTGATGGATGAAGTACATTTACAAATATGATGATGCAAAGCATTATTATTTATTTGTATTAAGAGTATACAATATACGGTGCTACACTGACAGATGCTAGGTGGTCATAGAAAAGTGGTCTGCGGTGTTATCAGTTGAAGCATCTAGGTGGTTGTAGGTAAGATAAGGCTGATGTGTGCATTTCGGAGATCTAAAGGTCAACACCTTTTTTTTTTTTCTTCCTTTCCCCCAGCTTGATGTTGAGAGCCTTTAGATGTATGTGCATTTCAGATTGTCGGTTTTGATTATGAAGTAGCCGAATGAGGGTAGTTTCAAAACCAGGAATTTTATAAGCAGTTATTTGCCTTTGGATGTATGTGCATTTCAGATTTTGGTTTGATGATGAAATAGCTGAATGAGGTTGGTTTCAAAACCAGGAATTTTATAAGCAGTTACTTTGTAGACATAATTTTGGATACCACTTGTATTTCATATATGGATATTATTTTAAAGAGGAGGAGTTTTTGTTTGTGAAATTGAATGTCTTAAATAATCAACTTGTATCAAAGTATGCTTCTAATACTTTAATGAAATAACATTTAGATTTCTATCTGTTGGTTGCCAAGATTGGTTGAATTTGCTATCCTAGGTTCCAAGTCTGCAGTGCTCTTACCATCTTAAGTCAACTAGGACCCTAGTCTAGTCTATTGGCTAGTGTGTCAGTTCTCCCCCCTTCGCCAATCTATTTTGATTGAAGCTCTCTCACGGGAACATAGATCACAAGAGTTTGAATATTTTGAAGAGACATCTACTGTAATTAGTTGTGGACAGTTAATTTTCTGAAGTGCATGTATAGCCAAAAATGGACCATACATAATGCTACTGCTGTTTTCATAGTTGTTAAAGGCTCAAGGCGCACTAAAGCACCAAAGGCCTTACGGAGCCTAAGTGCAAGGCGTGATATAAGTTGTGAGCTTGATCGAAGTAAGGCGCGTGTGCAATAATATTGCATATTTAAACATGTATTATTATATATATTCAGAATTAAGTACTAACCGTAGTTAATATTTGTAGTGAACCATAAATTTATAATACTATGTATGATATAGAACATTTTAATTTTGTAGTCTTTAAATAAAAAGGGAAATGATATGAATAAATGATTAAAAATACATGATGCGCCTTTTTTAAGCCTGGAGCATACTAAAAAGCATGAGCTTGAGGGCTTTATGGCTTGATAGAATGGGCCTAATGTTACAAGGTGTTTTGTCCTACATCGGATCCGGATGGGGACAGTGATTGGGTATATATGGATTGAGTCTTAGCACCACCTAATACCTTAAGCTTTTGGGTCGGACCGCAAAGCATCCGACAAGTTACAGTTATTATCAGAGCCAGAGTTAGTAATTGATCTGGTGTCACCCCAAGCGCCTGCTCGGGAGGTGTCCAAGTCTACAGTTGGGTAAGTAGGGTGGCCCTACCACAACGGCGACGTTGCGAATTCAAGTGGGGGAGAATGTTACAAGGGGTTCTTGTCCTAGATCGGATCCCGATGGGGAAGTGATTGGGTAAATGGGTTGGTGTTAGCACCACCTAATAGCTTAAGCTATTGGGTTAGAGTCGTTAGACTGCGACCTAGCTTGTACTAGGTTAAGGAGCTCTAACTATGCCTTGACGAGCCTAGGGCTTTTTGGGCCTTTAACAACTATGGTTGTTTTTCTACCTGCTAGAACTGATTTGATTGGATTAAAAAGGGTTTTTCTTGTATTCTGATTCACTGACCCAATCTTTTCTGCATTGAGTTAGTTTTTGCTGCTTGTGTTTGAATTCTAAGTCTAATTTTGTGAAATAATCAATTGCACATTGATTCATTGAAGTCCTTTATTCATGCCCAAACCAAGGAAATTGGGGTTTCGGATTTTTTGTAATTATGTTGGTATTTTTCATTACTTATCAAAAAAATGTTGGTATTTTTCATCACTAGAGTTCATTAGTTGCTTTCTACATTTGTATAGAAATTATCAGGAGAGAGTATATTATTTTATGTTTTTGAAATTTATCTTGCATGCAGGTACAATGCAGTTATGGAGAGCTGGCAGATGGCATTTAACTGGGACCAAGCTGTAGACTTTCAGATTAGGGATGTCCGGGCACGGGTACTGACAGACGTTGCATGGGTTACCATGAAAACCTATATTGATATGGACGCTGGGCCTTTTAATATGACTAATGTTTATGAGTTCCATAATGGGCGCTGGTACATGGTGCATCATCACAGCTCTTTGATGCTCATTGACGGAGATGGAGAGCAACAAGTTGTGCAGGGGTGAGAAACACAAAAGTGATAGTGACAATGATTATAATATTCATAATACCTACAAAATGATACGGTCTTATCTTTTACAAGGATTGGGTCATTTAGAAATTTCTGAGTTCTTTGAATCATCTTAAATTTTTTTTTTTTTTTCAACCTTAGTTTTGGATGCTTGGTGGTGAAGAGGCCGTCTATATTTCTCTTTTTTGCATTCTTTGCTTCTTCCAGCTAATCGCTTTTTGGTCTTGTATCTAAAAGCTCTACAAGTATATAATTTTCCAAGGAAATTTGTCTACACTGTTCTGCTGAACTTTGGTTCACTGTAATGATACAATCATTTTAGTGGGAGATGCAAAAATGCGAAGCTATGCTTCCACTTGGCGCCAAAATTTGTCTCTTTTGGTATTAGCACCACCTGTTGGCTTGAACAGCATAGAATATATGTTGGCTTCAATATGGTATAAAGTTTCTGGTCATCTCTCTCTTTAATTGCAAGTCTATAATAGAAAGTACAACCATGGACACAAGAAGGTCCAAAGTGAGGTAGCTGTATCCCCACCTATTCCAAACTCAGGTCGTGAACTAGACTGTTACTTCCCGGAGTGTGTCTGTCAGTGGTTGCTACATTATGCGAGTCCCCGTGGTAGGTTTAAATATAATAGTACTCATTCAGTGAACTATTGAAGCTATCAGTGTGATTGATCAGACAATGCGGGCTTTCGGTAGACTGATTTCGTTTCCGAATTCGCTTGCGACAAGTCCTAGCATTAGTATGAGTTCGTTGCGACAAGTCCTAGCATTAGTATGAGTTCGTTGACCGCGTACGGTGACGAATTTCATGATAACAAGAAATAGAAATGAATCGTTCGATGTCTGCTTGTTCTCCCCTCTTCAATTCCCAATGAACAATATGATCTTGACCTATTATGTGTTCCATTTGGTCGATCTGATACTTTGTTAACTTTTTGATCTTTATGTTCCCACTGATACCTAATCGATAACGAATCTGAATGGCTTTTTGAGGTCCAATTCCATCCTTTTTTGTTGAATGGTGGAGTTCCGAGAGGGAATGAATATATTTGTCACTTAACCCTGTTATGATTAGACCCACTCGAAGCCCATCTCATCCTTTGAGCCTTGTACGGTCATGCATAGTATTGCTTACATTGCTAACGCTAATGACTAATTGAAATGATTTCAATTCATATCTTAATTCTTAATAGGACTATAGGAGAGTTATTAATATATAAAATGAATCTAATGATAAATAATTAATATATAAATGAATCTAATGATATACTATATATTACATTACAATATACTATATATGTAATTAGTTATCTACCATTAAATTTATATATATAATTATTTATCATTAGATTCATTATATATATATATATATATATATATATATATATATATATATATAATTTTAATCAGATTGAATACTAAAGGAATCGAATTATCTTAATTTCTGTTTGATTTGTTAAGGTAACATTATAAACATGTTATTGGAGTTTTTATCCAATCAATATTTGGATTTTTTGTTCAATTCATATTTGATTATTCAAATCAAATTCAAATTTAAATTCATAATTCATAATCTATTAACAGATGATACGCAGATGTCTTGAGGGATAGTACCTTCGGTAGATTTTGGAGAGCCAAATAATCTTTTTCAAAGTTCTATTGCCTTATAAATATATATATATATTTATCTTATTTTGAATTGAAATTAAGGTTTTCATTTGTTTGGATATAAAATACATATATATTTTTATTTTTTGATGTTTAGTTGTCATAAAGTATTTACGAAGAAAAAATTATTAAATTCTAAGAATAATAATTTACTCATCAATTTTAGGCAAGTCATTTTCCACGTCCTGCTTGATGAATTCAATCGAATATATATATATATATATATTTAACGTAAAAAAATAAAAATCATTTCGCAAGAAAATATTTTACGTAGGGAGCCTAAAGTAAATTCAATTTAAACGTTAAATTTGAACATATTTATACTTGAGTTGCCACGTAACGATCTGAGTGAAGATTTGGCCGCATCTGATTTATTGCCCCAGCACGTGCACACATCTACACACCTATTCCACTGCCTTTTTCAGTTACACAGATTGCCCGATCAAGCAGAATTACACAGATTGCCCGATCAAGCACTGTTTGGCAGCCTATAAAATCTCTCACAGATGGAACCAGAAACTCAAGAGAAAATCGAAGAAACGGTATTGGAGATCCTGAGGAGCTCCAACATGGACGAGACGACCGAGTCCAAGATCCGCAAAATGGCCTCCGACAGGCTCGGAATCGACCTCTCCCAGCCGGACCGCAAGCAATTCGTCAGGAAAGTCGTCAATGCCTACCTCGAAGAAGAAAAGGCGAAGGCCGAAACAGAACCGGCCGAAGAAATCACCATAACCGAACAGCCCGAAGAAGAAGGAGATGAAGAGGAAGGCCGAAAGAGAAAGAGAGGCGGTGCTAAAGAGTTCGATGACGAAGGCGATCTCATTGTTTGTAAGGTGAAGTCGGAGCTTTTAAGTCTTCTTTTTTTAACTTTATTTATTTGTCTTGAGCATTGGTTTTGATAGCTAGGGTTTTCGGAAGATCTGAATAGGTTTTTAGCCCTAATTTCTTAATAAATGTGATGGACACTACAATTTACACACGTACATATACATGTTGTGTTAAAGTGTTTTTATGTTTATATATGTACATAGATGTATGTATGCATAAAGACATGATGTATGTGAAAAGTTTATGACATATAGACGTATATGAATATAAATCTTTGATATACAAAATTAGAAAAGTTCACATCCAGTTAATACTTATATTAGTTGAGGGGAGGCCGTTTTATTGGTCCATGATAATGAAAAATATGATGTTGAAAATTTCTGATTTCTCTTTTTTAGTCGAGCAAATAGTTTGTCTGCAATCGAATATGATTTGTTCATCTTGAGCACTGGTTTTGGTAGTAATTGAAAATTTGAAATGGATTTTAACCCTAATTTTTTATCTTGTCTATATGTGTGTATGTGTATATAGATACATGTATATATATCTTTGATACTTATATGGTTTTGAGTGGAAGTCATTTCTTGGTCCAAGATAATGAAAAATATGATGTTGGGAATTTTGATTTCTCTTCTTTTCCAGCAATAATTTGTTGGCAGCAAAATAAAATGAGTGCACATATATCCACATACATTCCTACATATATACATACATACCAACAAACAGAGAAAGTAATTACTTGCAATTTTATTTAATTTATGTAAATTATTTATTTGTTGTGCTTTGATGTAGCTATCGGAAAGGAGAAGGGTGACTATTCAAGATTTTAGAGGGAAGACACTGGTGTCAATTAGGGAATACTATAGAAGAGATGGAAAAGAGCTTCCTACTTCCAAAGGTAAATGATCTGGTAATTTTATTAATAAAATTTCTTTGGCTTATGTGCTACTTTTACCTTATAGCTTGATGCATATATGTGGAACAAAATTTACAAGTTTCTCAATGGTTAAAGGAAAATAAAAGTTAAAAGGTTAGAATAAGAGCTAAACATGAAAGAATAAAATGGAAATCATGTTTTTATTTATTTTTTGTGTTTTTGTTCTTATGTGATCCGTTGTGCGTCTTCGCTGGTAGTCTTGGGTATGAAGAACTTTGGTTTGTTGAACTTTTACAGGAAGTTGAAGGTGCAAATTTACAAGTTTCTCAATGGTTAAAGGAAATAAAAGTTAAGGTTAGAATAAGAGCTAAACATGAAAGAATAAAATGGAAATCAGTTTTGTGTGTGTGTGTGTTCTTATGTGATCCGTTGTGCATCTCCGCTGGAATGTTTGGGTATGAAGAAGTTTGGTTTGTTGAGCTATTACAGGAAGCTGAAGGAGCATATTTTGGCAGTGTATTGATAATTATAGTACTTCTAAGGTTCTTTGCATTTCCTCAAGCACTTTATAGTGTGCCACAGCTTTAGTGACCAAAGTTTATAAGCCTCATATGACAAACTAAAAGTGCTAAGTATAGATGCATAATTTATGAACAAATCCTAATTTTGTTGAAAATTTTAGTTGGCATAAATGAATTGAAATTACATCTTGATAGCGATTTGTATTTGTATTGGACATCCTTGAAAAGGATTTGCATCTCCTTTCTTTCAATAACAAATAACAAAATAAAAGTAACTTTCATGGTTATTATAATAAGCTTTGATGAAAAAGATCATGCAAGCTATAAGATAATTATGCTGTTACCTCTTCTAGTGTGATGCCAATTTCTTCACTGAACCACCTGAAATCTGGCTGTAAAAAACCCTATTTCAACTGAGTTCTGCAATGGAATCACAGCTTTCAATCTTCTGCCACACCAGCATTACCAGATTTTTAACTGGGTGATTTGATGCTCTTGCTGAAACTTGTGATTCTATGCAGCTAATTTGTTTCTTTTGTTCGTCTTTTTTCTTTTCACCGGGAAAAGTGTCTTCTGCCTTTTTTTCTTACCATAGACCGATAGGTTAGTGTCTTATGAAAATTTAAGGGGTCTAAAGACAGAAAATTTTATTTATTCTTATAAAATTTAGGGGATTATATTCACCACTTGTAATATTTCTTGGTGATTTTAAAACTTCTATTGTGACTGTGAGCTTCATGTTTTTTTGTATCCCTTGAAGCCATAAAATGTCGAGGTCCCAAAGTCTTCTCCACCAGACTTTGGCATCCCCGGTGAGAGCTTAGCTGCCCTTTTCGCGAACCCATTGAGCTCTTTCATCCCATTTACCTTGCCCTGATCGACGACTACACCACTTAAAAAGGAGGAAAGAACGAAAGAAAGAATGATCGTCCGCATCCTACGAGTGAGCCTCTAAAGGAGATCAAATGAGTTCCAACAGCTCATGAGAGAGTCTTTTTTCATTGGAATTCATCAAATAGGTAGCAGAAAACTCAGTGGACTCCTTTCTTCGTTCGTGGGTCTCCCTTCTGTTTCATAGGGCTAAAAGGTGGACCTTAAAGGCGCTTTTCGGGACAAAATGTTTTATTTTTACAAATTTCATTTTGAAGTATTTTCTTAATGGCTGTTGCTCAATAAGAGTGCGCCTTAACTTCAGCTTCAAATGTAGTTAATTAGAATTCTTTCAATTTGAATTTTGCTTGCTTTTTATTTAGGGATGTCAACAGGTAGGTTTGCGGCGGGTTACCCCTATATCAAACCCGCCCTGCAAAGACATTTAATTCCCAAACCTTCCCCATATCAGAGTCGGGAATGGTTCAGATTACCCCGCTAATTATTATTATTTTTATTTATTTAATTTTTTTTTTTTAAGGAGAAAACAATTTTGAATGAGTTTATGACATTTTTTTAGAAAAGATAAGTATAAAAGTACATAACAATCACAATCATGAATTTTCTTAACTTTGTATTTGAAATTTTATATTATCAGTAAAAATAATGAAAGAAAAATGTTATAACTAATAATAGAACATATATTTATTAATAATTGGGGTGGGCTGGGGTTTCTGACACTACCCTAACCCCCCACTAACGGGGAAAAAATGCACCCAAACACGTTCCATCAGTGCCGGACGGGGCGGGTTAAATTGACAGCCCTATTTTTACTTTTTTTGTTTTTGTTTTTGTTTTTGTTTTTGTTTGTTTGTTTGTTTATTTATTTATTTTAGTTTACTATTTCCTTACTTTTGATTGAAACCAGCATAGTTTATCAAGAAAAAGTGATTTTCAAGGTTTTAAGGAGGAAAATTTGGCTTTCCGCAGTCAAATACAATAGGAAAGAGGACAAGAAATACCAAAAAAGGAACAGAGATCCTTGTGAAACCCTTCTTGCCATTGAGCTGGTATTCTTTGCTTGTATAATCTCTTTTAACTGGTTTAATTGATTTAGCCATATGATTTTTATATTTGTAATCTCTCTATGATCACTTACATGCTCCACTACATGGAGATTGGAGATGGATGCCATCCTATATAATTATTATATCATTGCCTTCTACTTAAGCTCTGGTTTTCTTTTACACCTACTTTTCTAATTCATCATGCTTTCAATACTAGAAATGAAAATAAAATTTTCGCTGTTGTTGCTGTATCCCAGGAATAAGCTTGACAACTGATCAGTGGTCATCCTTCAAGAAGAATGTACCTGCCATAGAGAAAGCCATCAGGAAGATGGACTCAAGGCTGAACTGAGGGTATTGCTTGCTAGATGAAAACTCTAGAGCCATTGGAAACCCGAGCAACGATATTTTATCACTGAAACCCTTCCTGTTTGTAGTTGCACAATGGGGTCTGGTTTTTGAGGAATTTTGTGTTGATATTTCAATGTCAAAATACTTTCTGTGTAAGTTGAATTTCTGTGTTCTTGGATCTGTGCTAGATGTTGAAGCGCAAAGCCCATTAAGAACTGATGTGAATGATCTGCTTTAATGAAATGAACTACTATTAAGCTTGAGTAGTTTTTCCTGTGAACATCTGTTGTACTCTATGTACCATTTAAAGAATTATATATATATTTGCTATGTTTTGGGAGCACCCAATCGTGTCTAGGATTTTTGAAATGGAAGGGAATTTGGTTCTAAGTTTAAAAGAAATTGGAATTGGAATTGGAAAAAGCAAATTCCAATTCCAAAGCTTTTAAATGCAATGATTATGAATTTTTTTGTAACCTTTATGATAATTATAAAGGAGTCATACATGTTGCATCTTGCTACAATAAAGTCATATTATTTAGGGTTAATTATAATGACACTTCATGAAGTTTGATTTATTGATGAAAGTTATGATTTATTGATGAAAGTTAGTCCTTTTTTTTTTTTATAACATTGATCACCTATTAGGTTTGACAAAGTTAACAAAGATACCCCTCTGTCACATCTGATACGGTGAATTGACACTATTATCCTTTAATTTAATAGTTGACTTGTTTGGAACCTAGAATTATATTTTTAATCTTTACAACTCATTAATTAGACCAAACTACCCTTATACGCAAATAAAAAATGTGGGTGAAATCCACCTTCAAACCTTTGTGTCACACCCGCCACCACCATCACCACTCCACATCGCATATACATACATCATCAAATCTAGCGTAATCACCATCCAAATCCACACAACTACAAATCCAAATCCACATACATGTAAGAATAAATCTCATATATATATATAAAATATATAAATTCCATATTGAGAGAGATAGAATCACAGAGCCTCACAGACAAATATATATATATATATATATATATATATATAGATTTGCATTTCTAAAATTCTATAAATTTCTTGAATTTTCCAACACGTTGAGAAGTTCATGGTTGGTTGGTTAACGTTGAGGTGGTGGTGAATTATTTGAGTTTTTGTGTTCTTGTGGTGGAAGTGGTGGCAGTGGTGGTTGAAGTGGTGGCGATTGACCAGCAGTGGTGTAGCCAGAAATTTTCTTTAGTGGGGGCAATTTTTAACAACAATAATCTATATATATATATATATATATTATTTGAACCAAAATAATATATGTAAAAATTAAACAATACTAAATATTTCAGAATATTTTTCATATTCTGAAAGCACGCAGTCAAGTTTTCAAAATGTTCATGGCATAATAATAGTAAATTTAGATGATAAAAAAATATATATCAGATTACTTGTCTCCGCACTGCAATATTTGTTTGAATTTTGTGAATTTTTGAAATATTGAAGACTCGCCGAAAGAGAAATATTATAGATTGAAAATGTGATGGAAATTAACAACACATTTGTTTGTGGTAAAGTCAAAAGTGTGAAAGAATATCTTGTATTTTTGAATAAAGTGGGAAAGAATATAATATTTTGAGAAAGTAAAAAAAAAATATCATATTTTTTGAAAAGATTATATTCTTTTTTTATTTTTTATTATTTTTTATAATACCGTAGAAAAAAAATATCATATTTTTTGGAAAGATTATATTTTTATATTTTTATTTTTTATAATACCGTTAATAGTCATTAGGTTATATACATAGATAATATATATACATACAATGTCAATTTTTAGTGGGGACAATTATACAAATATAAAAAAAAATTTATATAAAATTTAAAAAAATAAAAAAAAATAAAAAATTCAGTGGGGGCTGCTGCCCCCACTTGTCCCTACGTGGCTCCACCACTGTTGACCAGGTTGGTGTGGCCCGAAATAATGTGCACTGGGAATTACACTGGTTTGTAATGGAAAAAGCATTGCAACGATATTCCGATGATGCCCTTGAAGAAGATGACGACGTTGGTTGCTGGTGGCGAAAGGGAAACAGAGCTTCTTCTGGGTTCGCTGGGGAAGAAGATGAAGCGCCACAAGTGGGTGCAACCCCACGCGCGACGACGATGGGGTGCCTGAGCCCATTCCGGTGGCAGTTGGGGCCTAAAAAAGGGTGATCCGACCCCACGATGCCATCCCCTTGCCTTCAACGATGACAATTTGAAACTTACAAGGCCCGAATTCAACTCAATTTGGACTAATCTGGAACTCCACATCATACTTTGTTGCTCGTCTTCAACACAGACTAGAATAATGATTTCTCTGATTACCCTCGAGGTAGCGGTTTCACAGTGTGGCCATGGTGGGAGGAGGTGGCAGTGGCCATACTGTGAAACCGCCACCTCGAGGGCAATGGTGATGGTGTATAGGAGGTTGAGAGGTGGTTGTAGTGCCGGTCGTGTTTTTTGGGGCAGTGGTGGTGGGTGAGGGTGATGACTGATGACAGGTGCCTTAAAAGTTGTGGATAATAAGACTATCTCCAATGCAAAATGTTATTTTTGTATCTCAAATTTATATTTTGAGATAAATTACGGTGTCAAAATGTTATATTTTAGTAACTATGTTCTAATGATGTATTTCATCCAAAATGTTATTTTTTTTTTATGCCACAACCATTTTTTTTTATGTATTTATATTTTATTTAGCTTATTTGTCTTATTAAAAATAAATAAAAAAATTTAATTATCAAATCCAAAGAATATAAATTATATAAAAATAAATGAATAAACTAGTCATTTACATAACAAACAAACTCTATCAAAACATTGGACAAATCATCTCAGCCCCCAATGCCTCTATCTTTATTCTCGTTCTTGACTCTAAACTTGCCCCCCCCCCCCCCCCCCCCCCTCTCTCTCTCTCTCTCTCTGTATATATATCCAATTGCAAACTACAAAATCTACAAAAATCAGAAGTTCTTTCTGCTAACTTGTATGTATGGGTTTTGTTTTAATTTTTTTTTTTCTTTCTAAATCAACTAATCAAGGTCTTTAATTCTTATTTTGCAAACTAAATCCTATTTGGTGAAATTTTTTATGATTTTTTTTTTTTAAAAAATATATATATATTTACAATATAAAATAACAAAATTTGCATTGCATTGTGAGGTAATCACCTTAATCTACAATTTATTTTAGCAAAACAAATATATTTTTTTATTTCTTTTTTTTTTTTTTTCATAGTGAAAATTTTCAAATAGTTCTCGACTCTGAACCCCACCTATGTGCGCGCGCACGCAACTGTAAACTACAAAATCATCTCTAAGAATCAGAAGTTCAAAACCCATATCTTTCAGTTTCCATCGCCCGCAATTTCGGTTCGAGAGAGGTGGTGCACCAGAGCCTGAATCACAACTGTGTGTACTTTCTCTTTCTAGATGATGAAGGGGAGAGGAGAGAGGCAGGGGAGAGAATGCAATAACAGATTTGGCACCTGTTATATTTTGTGCTATATTTGACACATTATTTGACAAAGTTATATTTTGGCAGCCATTTTTACATGCCATTGGAGAGCTCATGCTAAACCCATCTACTATATTTTGAAATTGGAGCCAATATAGTAGGTGGTTGGAGTTGCTCTAATGATGGGGGTATTTCGGCCACGTAAATGTTTTGATATTTTGAATTAAGAAATTATTATTTTATTGAAGGGCAATAACGTCTTCGTATACCTTTTTAGGGGCTGTTTGGTTACAATTTCTGACAGGGGGTGTGAGTGTTCAAAAAAAAGCTAACTATCATCTGCCTGTCAATAAAGCAAATCTCAAGAAGTGTGAGTGTAATTAACCCTATTATTTATAATTGTTCCAAGTTTATGTTCGGTTGTATGTAATTGGAGTCTTGGAATTGGTAAAATTGAAGAAAATTTATGTTCAATTTTTTGAGTTGCTTTTTTTCAATTCCACATATTTCAATCAATTCTAAAACTTCAATTCTATACGACCGAAATTAGTGATTGCATGTTGGATGGTGAATTTGTTTTTGGGCTTAGCCTCAAGTACATCATTATGGAACACATGATTTTGGAAAAACAAAATTGTTTGAAAAAAATATTGAGAGCTTGTCGTGTTGAATTGTTTGAAATCCTCTTAAGGCTATGTTTGGCAAGCATGAAATTGGAGCTCTGGAATTGAAATTGATGGAATTGGAGAAAAGCAACTTAAAAAAATTGAACCAAAATTTTCTTTAATTCCACTAATTCCAAGACTCCAATTCCATGCCGCGAAACATACCTTAACAAATATAATTACTACAAGTCATATGCTAAATAATTGGCAGAACCAGATCAAAAAAATGTTGCTGAATGAAGTGTACCAGAAACATTGTTAACACAAACGCCTTGTTGATCAACAATATGAACTGGTTTCGCAAAAATGTTCTCTAAGAAATTAGTTCATTCTTTCCATTGATCGGCTTATACAGAGGACAACTTCAGTGAATTCAAATATTTCTCAACAAAAAGTTGCTCGTAAGCTACTAAATTCTATTTACAATCTCCAGCTTGGCACTCCATTAACCTGACATGAGCTCTTATCCATTGGAAACACACAACTTACTGATCAAAGAATATAAGCAACAATAACAGTTATGTCATCTTCTTTGCCACCAAAACGATCTTTCCCTGCCATGAGAGATGCTTCTGTAAACGGAGTACCAGCAGCTGCGTCCACTGAGTTGTAATAAGCATGTTCAGCTATTGCCCGGGCAACATGCTCTACGTCAACACAATCTCTACTCACCATTTTCACAACATCCTCAATCTGATTTGCAAACATGTTGTCAAACAGACCGTCCGTGCCAACAACAATTAGATCTCCAGCCCTTACTGCAATTTCAAAAATCTGCATGCCATGTTGGGAAAATCATTCAAAACATGTTGCAAATTTGAAGAGCATGGATCAACTACCATCAACCTTGCCAAACACATGATATATATATATATATATATATATATATATATATATATTGAATAATTGGAAAGGATATCAATAATCTTTGAGTGTTCATATGTTTCCAAAGAGAGTGATATGACAAGAAAAAGAAAATGTTAAGAGTGCATAATATTTACTCCAATGTAAGTAAATCAAATATAATAGATGAAGTAAAAGTAGATGTTGATTAATAATTATGGTACCTGTGCTGAACTTGGTTTATCTTTTGATGTGTTTCCAAGCTGATATGGATGATTGAAGCGGCGTTGCTGAATTGGTGATTTGTAAACATCTTCTCCTTCTCTAATCAACAAAAATCCGCTATCACCCACATTCGCAGCGTGCAAATGCTTTAACAAGAAACAAGATTATACGTCATTAGGAATTATATGCCGGAATAGTACTAGTGAGTGATAGAGATCATTATTTAATTACAGTGAAGAAACACTTACATTATCTTTCAGTGTTAATATGCAAGCTGTAGATGATCCTTTAACATTGGTCTTTGAGTAGGCTTCATCCAAAACCTTTCTCGGATCAACGTCACTTCTTGCTTTGTTTTGGATTGCATTAACACAGTTTGTTATGAGTTGCCGAGCATATTCTCCTGCATCTACACCACTCTTCCACCAGCCTCCAACGCCATCCGCGACACCAATCGTTTGGCTTTCTTCACATATAAAGTGGGCATCATCCCCTTGAGGAGTTCGGGATTTCTCCTTTGGTATGTAGAAAGCTCCACAAACCATATTCAAGCTTTTTTTCCTGCTGAATTAGAAAAATTTAAGTAAAAACCATTAATGAAGAAACATTTATTTTCCAGCTTCTTTCCCTTCTGAACCGAGCAATAAAAGTAAAAACCATAAATGAAGCAGCATTTTATCCGAGCCATTAAACCTCAAGTTGGATGTTTATGTTAAGAAACATAACAAAAAAGAACTGAGAGGATGTGAATGCTACTCATATTAGGTTAATGGCCACCAACTAACCTGTTTTTGTTACAAATGATATTAAGTACCAACACATATACTATGTGAAACAAACGGGGGTTTTTGCTTAGTAAAGTGGTACTAAAAGCTAACGATGGATTCGAGTTTGAAGATAGTCACTTTGTTTAAATAGTACTAAAAGTTAAGGATGAAAATTAAAATTCCGAGAATGCCGACTCCTACTGGAGTTGTGGGTCTCACCACTTCCACTCATATATTCCTATCCGGCATTCTCCCTATTTTTGTACCCAATTCTTTTTACCCTGGGACAGCATATTAGGTGAGCTTGTTGTGATTGCAAAATCAAATTAAGTACACGGAAATACACAATTCAAGATCAAAAGCCCCAAAATTAAAAAAAACTAAAATAGAATAAAATGAATGTAAATTTGATAAAGTTATAGAAGATCATGAATTTATAGGACGGTTATTTGGGAGAAAACGTTGAAAAAGAAGGTATTGCCGTTGAAGAAAAAAAAAATGATCCAACAAAAGCACTTTATAATAATCCCAAAGACAGCAGATATATGATGATCGAACTACATATTCACAAAATTAAAAGGCAAAAGTGAATTAATATTCAGATGAAGAGCAATTCGATGAAATTGTAATGATAATCAATAAACTGTGAAAATAAAAAGTAGAGAGAATATGGGCGAGAAAGAAAAGGAAAAGGCGTGAAAGAAAAGAGCGTACTCGATTGGAAGAGTTGGTCCAGAAATCGCAAAGTCCATTGTCAAAGGTCACAGAGAGCAAGAATGAGAGTAGTGATACGTTATCGATGATTCGATGATGATGGATATAAGAAGTTTAACAAAGTAATTTAAGAATGAACCCTCGTGTGAACAGGAGGAGAAATTGATTACTCAGAGCTTTACTAGGAATAGGAAAATACGATTATTGGTAGGATTAGGAATATATCTACGCCTCCGATGATGCAAGTTTTATACATGTATCTCTCTCTCTCTCTCTCTCTCTCTCTCTCTCTCTCTCACACGCGCGCGCGCGCGCACACACACACTTCACTATTTATATTTATCTCACACACGCACACTTCACTAATCCGAGTTGTAAATGGAAACTAATATTATTGGTTCATGGAAAGTGTTTGTTACATTTTATTTTTATTTTTTATTTTTTAGTTTTTGGAAAAAGATGATATCATAAAACCCTTTTTGTTTTATGTTTTTATGGTAAAATTAGTGCAATATAAATTCTTTTTTAAAAACCAATATAATGTGAATCCCATTTTTTTTAACAATCATTCAATTTTATTTTTTATTTTTTTGAAATATCATGTAACAAATTTAGTTACCAAATTCGTCAACAACAAAGATATACTTACAATGAAATAATAAATGGAAAATAGAAACAATTGTCAAATGGATGGGCCCTAAGATTCCTATTAGATTAAGGAAATATTGTGCTGGATTTTGAATTCTGACTTTATAACAGAATCCTCCTCCTCCTCCTCCTCCTCCTCCACCATCACCACCACCACCAAAAATAAATAAAAAAATAAAAATAAAAAAACTTGTTTTGCCTTATCATAGTTATATATGCAAAAACATAACAAAGTACCATAATTTTATGGGTTAAATATCACATTTAAATACCTTTTAAAAATTATTATCACTAAAGTTATAAACGTTTGGTCCGTTTTTCACTAAGACCCTAAACTTACTTTTTAGAGTTGTCAGATTACTTTTTGAGTGTAAAATGACATTACTACCCATTTGACTTTGTCAAAACCCCTTTTATCCTAAATAAAATTATTTAAAATATCAAAATACCCTAGCAAACTTTTCCTTTTCCACCTATTATTACTTATCTCTTTCTCTATTTTGGCTTCAATGTAATTTTTTTTTAGGGTAAAGTACAACCACACCCATTGAGGATTGACAAAAAGGCATTCAGATGAAACTTACCTATTTTTTGGACAAAAACACCCTCTGAAGGTTCAAAAATGGACAAAGACACCCCCTTTATATGAAAAATTGACCAAATTACCCTTTGACCGTTTAGGAGACTTTTTTAACTTTACAATTTAATAAATTAGACCAATCTACCCTCATAAACAATTTATGCATAAAAAAAAGTAACAATTTATGTATTGTTCAGTTTTTTTTTTTTTTTTTTTAGTTATTTACTTTATAAATATCCCAACTTCTTAAAAATATAGACGTCTAAAATGATTTTTTGATTTAATACATATATTTCAAATAAATTATATTTTGTTATTACTTCTTTTCTTTTTCTTTTTTATTTTTAAATTAAGATGCTTAATTCTTTTAACTAAAAAAATTAAACCAATCTCTTTTCCTTAAAAATAAAAAATATTATACCAGTATAACTTTATGCATCTTAAATTATATATCAAATATTATGCATTTCCCAATATAGAAGGGAAAAAAAGTAATAATAAAACAAAGGCAAAAAAAAAAAAAAAAAAACAAAGGCATGCATAAAGTTATACTGGTACCTATTTTCTTTTATATTGGGAAATGCATAATATTTAATATATAATTTAAGATACATAAAGTTATACTAGTACCATATTTTTTATTTTTAAGGAAAAGATATTGGTTTAATTTTTTTTAGATGAAAGAATTAAATATCTTAATTTAAAAATAAAAAAGTAAAAGAAAAGAAGTAATAACAAAATATAATTTATTTGAAATATATATATTGAATCAAAAAATCATTTTAGACATGTACATTTTTAAGAAGTTGAGACATTTATAAAGTAAAAAAAAAAAAAGTAAACAATATAAAGTTTTTTTTAACTTTTTTTTATGCATAAATTATTCATGAGGGTAGATTGGTCCAATTTATTAAATTGTAAAGTTAAAAAGTCTCCTAAATGGTCAAAGGGTAATTTGGTCAATTTTTCATGTAAAGGGGTATCTTTGTCCATTTTTGAACCTTAAGGGGTGTCTTTGTCCAAAAAACAAATAAGTTTTCTCTGAGTGTTCTTTTACCAAATCTCAGGGGGTGTGGCTGTACTTTACCCTTTTTAACCTCTCGACTTGCATAATGCATTATATTTATATTAACAAAAATTTTATCAGTTATAATGCGTGACAACTCTTGATTCTTAAGCTTCAATACCGTATTTCATTTGTTTTATATAGTAATTACGATCAAACGATTCAGACACATTACAAAAGAATACACCTAAATCACTGCAAAAAGTTTTTTTTTTTTTTTTTTTTTTTTTTTTTTTTTTTTTTAACTACTTCAAAATTTAAACTGAATTGACGATATTTTATTTATTTATATATAAATGAATTTTATTAAAGAGCACAATAGATCTGATGATTGAAAAATTGGAGCAATTTGTGCTTGTGTGTGTATATATTTATACAAAGAATATATCTCTTTTATTTATTTGTGTGAATCTTTTTCTATTATGAGTTTCATTTGAAACAGATTTTTTATTTATTTACATATATTTCAACTAGTGATGGTGGTGAGGTGGTGCGAGGTGGCCCACGTATGAAGATAAAGGGAAAGTATGAGAGAGAGTGAGGGTGTTGTTGGATAATTAATTATTGGGGGGTAATTTTGTCCTTATACAATTATGATATTTCAGATTTGGTCAAATGTCACTTTCAATCATCTTTCAAAAATAACTATCACTCATATTACAAATTTTTGCTTCGTTTTTCACTAACACCCTAATCGTTAGTTGAAAAGTTCTGACATGATGTAAAATGACTTAATCACCTTTTAAATTTGTCAAACCAACCCATTAGCTTAAATAATTAGATTAAAAGACTAAAATACCCCTAGAAAGTTGTAAATTTACTAATTATATCTATATCTATATTATTATTAAATGTGTAAAGAGTTTCAGTGTTTCAGTATTTCAGTATTTATTTATTAATAAAAAAATATTTATTAATTGATAAAAACAATTTATGCTAGAGAATGATATATTCAAAGAAAATAAAATAATTTCTATAAAACTCTACCACAAATTACCTATTTTATTTTTTATAAAACTCTATCACATATAACCTATATATATATTAGATCTGGCTTGTGGTGTACATATTTTTTCTTTTCTCTTTATAATTGGTCTCATAAGTTTTTTCTTTACTTTTTCTTTTTATAAGCATTATTATTATGTTATTTTACTTTTGTTTTATTTTTATTTTTTTATTTCTAATAGATGTTTAGAAGTAGTTGATTTGTTTTATTTTTATTTTCTCTTTCTAATTGATGTTTCTAATAAATGTTTAGAAGTGGTTGATTTTTTTTCTTAATTTTATTTTATTTTATTATTTTTGGTTCATTCTTAATTTATTATTATTTTGAGTCATTATTGTTATTTTTTTTTTCTTTTTTCACAAGCATCATTCTTCTTTTTTCTTTACTTTTTATTTTTATTTTACTCTTTGTGAGTTTTTGTTGTATTGAGAAGGTTGGATTGTTATTTATTTATTTATTTTTTACTTTTCCTTTTTAGAAGCATTATTATTATTTTTTTTCTCTTATTTTATTTTTATTTTTCTCTTTCTAATAGATGTTTAGAAATGGTTTGTTTTATTTAATTTTTCTCTTTCTGATGGATGTTTAGAAATAGTTGATTTAGTAAGTTTACTTTGAATTGTGATTTATTTTCTTTTATTTTATTAATTTTTATTTATGGTTCATTCATAATGTATTATTATTTTGAGCCATTATTGTCATTTATTTTTGTTTACTTTTTATTTTTCAAAAGTATCATTATTCTTTTTTCTTTAGTTTTTATTTTTATTTTACTCTTTGTAAGTTTACTTTGGATTGTAATTTTTTTCTCTAGTTTTTATTCTTTATATATTATTTGAGTCGGATTTCAATGTTTTTGATTTTCGGTTGTACTTGATTTTGAATTGAATTTGTTGCTGATGATTTTTTATATTTTATTTTTTTTTTCAATTTTTATTATTTTTTATTTTTGGTTCATTCTTAATATATTATTTTGAGGAGGGTTTCAATGTTTTTTGATTTTCGGTTAGACTTAATTTTGACTTGACTTTGAATTACCTATTTACCAATTTATTATGATTTTTTTAATAATAAAAAATCTAATTAGATAATTATTATTAATTTTATTTTATGAATTAATAGAGTTTTTTTTTTGTTAATGCATAATAAAATATTTAATAAATTAATTGGTGCATAAATAATTAATTCACCACATATTATCCTCATACATATTTTTATTATTATTATTATTATTTTTTACATCCTCATGATATTGGGCAGTGGATTAGGAGGCATAGGCATCGCCTCTCGATCCAATCCGCCTTCCCTTACCCCCAACACACTCTTGATGGTTTTTTTTTTAAGTAATACATATACATAGTAATAAGTTAACAACATTAATATATTACATTAAATATTAAAAGGAGTGCTATTGATAATTTAATTTCAAATTTGTTAACTTTAGCACAAATCAATTACCAATTAAAATTAAATAGGTAAAATAACATAATTTCTGTAAAACTTTAACACAAATTACCTTTTATTATGAGTTTTTTAAGGAAATCTAATTAGACAATGATATATTTACAGAAAATAAAATAATTTCCCTATTTTATTTTCAATAAAAACACGTTAGACAATTATATATTTAAAGAGTTTTTATAAATTACCTATTTATCCATTATTATAAATTTTTTAATAAAAGAAAACCTAATTAGACAAAAAATTATTAATATAAAAAATACTTATTAATTGATCTAGAAAATAAAATAATTTCTTTAAAACTCTGCCACAAATTATCTTTTATTATGAGTTTATTTTAATAAATAAAATAAAATAATTTCTTTAAAGCTCTACCCCAAATTACCCATTTTATTTTCAATAAAACTCTATCACATTAAACAAGGATATATTTAAAGAGTTTCTATAAAATTCTAACACAAATTACCTATTTATCTATTTATTATTTTGAGTTAAAATAAAAAAATCTAATTAG